AGCAAGAGTCCTCCTAGGACCCCACTCATTCCTCGCAGTCAGAGCAAGACCGAAGTGAGGAATACAAAACAGCCTGGCCGGTGTGGCTCAGTGGTTGAGTGTCAACCTATGAACCAGGAGGCCACGGTTCGATTCCCGGTCAGGGCACATACCCAGGTTGCTGGCTCGAATCCCAGCAGCGGGGATATTTCTGTCCCTCTCTCCCTCTCCCCTCCTCTCTTTGAAATCAATAAAAACATATGATTTAAACAAACCAAACCAAACCAAAGAAATCTGAGCAAAGACATCGAAAGCTGCACACTGCACACAAACCAGGTACCAGGCGCCACAGAATCGGGTAAGAATTAAACATTTAAACAAACGGCCAAACAAACAACAGCTACAACGACCAGGCCCGGGGCGGGAGGGGGGGCAGCGTGGAAACCCTGAAGCTCCCAGGTGGTGGGACGTTAGATGGGCAGCCGCTCTGAGAAATACTTTGGCAGCTGTTTCAACAAAACAATTAACAGGAAAGAAACAGGAAAGTGTGACTCATACATGGCGGTGGGGGTGGGGGGCCGGCAGCAGAACCTACTATAAATATGTTTTACAAACCAAAGGAAACTATATTTTTAAAAGATAAAGGAAGGTATGACAATGACGACTCATAAGTCGAGAATGTTAATAAAGAAGTGGAAATTATTTTTAAAAGACCAAATGAAGATTGTGATGTTGAAAAGTATCATAAGAAAGGGAAGGAGCAGAGAGAAAAAATATTCATAGAAATAATGCCTGAAAACTTCTCAAATTTGGTTTTTTTAAAAGCCCAGCTGGTGTGGCTCAGTGGTTGACCATCGACTTATGAACCAGGAGGTCACAGTTCGATTCCCCATCAGGCACAAGCCCCGGTTGTGGACTCAGTCCCCAGTAGGGGGCGTGCAGGAGGCAGCCGATAGCCGTTCCTCTCTCATGGATGTTTCTGTCTCTCTATCCCTCTCCCTTCCTCTCTAAAATTAAACAAACAAACAAAATGACAACATACCAGTTCACACACACAATCAATTTTGGCTTCAATGTGGACATTTAATCCCTCGGGCATCACGGGTGGGAAAGTCGTGGGCAGCACTCTGAAAAATACGTTGGCATTTCCTCAAAAAATGTAAACTCGAGCTGCCATATAACTCAGCATTATACCCCTAGGGCCCTCCCAAGGGAAACGAGGCCCTCTCCACGCGGGAACTTGCCCAGGAATGCTCGTGGCAGCATCGTTCACAAGAGCCAAAGGCGGAGACAACCCAGGTGTCCAGGAACCGATGAACGGACAAGGGAAGAACGGGGGGGATGGAGCCCCAGCGCACACCATGGCCTGCGAAGTGACAGCAGCCAGCCAGCCACCCGGACCCCACACATTCCAGAACCTCATTTACCCCGTGTCCAGGATCCGCAAACCTACGGACACGGGACACGGACGGGCGGCTGCCTCCCGCTGGGAGGAGAAGGAAGAGCGTTCGGCCAGGGGGCGACCGCTCATGGGCATGAGGGTTCTCTCGATAAAATGTTTTAAGATTAGATTACGGGGATGGTGGCACCGCTCTGTAAATCCACTGCACAATCCAGTTATCCGGCTGAAACCCATGGGCCCGGACCCTTGGTGGTTGGACTAGGTAGTAGGCACATTCTATCTCAATCAGCCTGTGGGGAAAAGTCGGGGGCGGGCCGGGCACACAGAACCCGATCAGAGAAGACAGGCCTTCGGGGGCCTGAGTGCAGTGCCCTCACCACCCCCACAAGCTGACTTCTAGGGAGTTGGACTTCGTTCCCTGTGACCCAACATGCCTCTAAGGCAGGGTGGGACCCTTCTTCCTGCCAAGGGCCATTGGATATGCTTTTGAAAATAGATTTTTATTGATTTCAGAGAGGAAGGGAGAGAGAGCGAAACATCAGTGATGAGAGAGAATCATTGATCAGCTGCCTCCTGCACGTTCTACCCTGGGGATCGAGCCCGCAACCCAGGCATGTGCCCTTGACCGGAATCGAACAGAGATCTCCTGGTTCATAGGCCGGCGCTCACCCACTGAGCCACGCTGGGGGGGCCATTTGGATATTTATAACGTCATTCGCTGGCCATACAAAATATCAACTTAAACATTAGCCTGAAATTGGGTCAAATGTTCCAATAACTCACCCCTAAGGCCTTGGCAGGGCCAGACCGGATGATTTCTCAGCCCTTATACGGCCCGAGGGCCGGACGTTCCCCGCCCCTGCTCTAAATCGTCAGGGCGGTCTTAGAGCAGAGGGAATCTGAGGGTGACACTTCCCAAGAATTCCAATCCTGGAGCGATCCCAAGGCACCCTCACCCTGAAGAGCAGCCTCCAGGTGGGCAGCGTCTGTGGGGTCTGATTGCCCTCCTCCCCGGGCAAAATCCGGTTTTGCCCCCATTTGCAACTCAGCTTAAGAATCCTTCCTCTCCGTCCGTCTGCGGACTGGGGGGTCCCAGGTTCGATTCCGGTCGGGGCACATGCCCAGGTTGCGGGCTCGATCCCTGGTAGGGGGCGTGCAGGTGGCAGCAGATCAATGATTCTTACTCATCATTGATGTTTCTGTTTCTCTCTCCTTCTCCCTTCCTCTATGAAATTAATAAAAATATATTTTTTAAAAAAAGAATCCCTCCTGAGTTTGTCCTTCTCTAAATCCGTTATTCCGTCTGCCTGGCTCTGCAGGTGGAATCACCTCTTGAGCACCTTCCCAGGTTGCGTGTCTGTGTGCGGGTCGGAGCTCACCTATCGCCGAGAACCACAGAGCAGCTCCTGCCTGCAGTTAGACTCTCACATCCTGGAGAGAGAGACTCGCGCCAGACGCTTTAGCTTAAAGGGGGAGGAAGGAGACCTTCACATCAAACGTGAACATTGTGACGGTGGCTCACAAACTCCCGGAAGGTCCTGGCTGCCCAGGCGTGCAGCGCAGCGGGGGCTGGAACCTGAGAACCAGGAAACCAGAACTCCGCCTCCACGGCTGGCTGGCTGGCCGCGAGAACTCCAAGTTCAACCAGCCCCGAGGGGGCAGAGGCACAGGTCGCCCCGTGGCTCAGCTGGCACCGGCGGCCAGCTGGGTCCCCAGGCTCCGTGGAGGCCCATAGCCTGTCTCTCCAGACACCAGACACGGTGAGATGAAAAAGACACTTTTGTTTAATCAAACCCAGGCGCCGGGTAAGGAAATGCCTCCCTGTGCACTTCCTTGGCCGGGCATTGCCCACGGGCACCGGGGCAGAGGGGAACTGCTCGTGCCAAGTGTGCGGGCAAACTGCCGGGAAAGGGCCAATTAAAGGCAGAGTTTTGTGGGCTTTAAAAATATATATTTTCATTGATTTCAGAGAGGAAGGGAGAGGGAGAGACTCTCAGAGAGAGAAACAACGATGAAGAGAGAGAATCACTGATTGGCTGCCTCCTGCACGCCCCACACTGAGGATCAAGCCTAAAACCTGGGCCTGTGCCCTGACCAGGGATCGAACCATGACCTCCTGGTTCATAGGTGGACGCTCAACCACTGAGCCACGGCGGCCGGGCGGGGCAGAGTTTTGACTGGACTCCGGTCTATTGAGAGAATGTTTGGAGAGCGGCGTGTGGCGCGGACAGGCTAGGTGTGCCCGGAGACAGACCGATCCTCCTCGCTCACGGCCCGCCCCCTGGAACGGCGCCCGCGGGGGCCAACCCTGGGGACAGAGGAAGCCGTCAGTGCTGGGGTAACTCTCAGCTGCTCCGACGCCCGCTCTCACCTTCTCCATCCATCCCAGGAGGGAGGGCTGTTACGCCTTTACTGGTGCGGCCCGAGCAGGGCCACGGACGGACGTGGGGCCCGGAGCTGAGGGCTGAGCACTCGGAGGCACGGCCCGCTTCCCAGACCTTCAGAGCGCACCTGCCGGGCAGCACCTGCTCAACGACTGTCCGCAGCATTTTTTCAATGAATCACCTGCTGCTTCTCTGAATTTTCTGTTTCCTTAACTGATCTCAGATGGTTGCTCCGAGTTGTCCCTTTGCCCCAAGCGCATGGACTTTGCTTCCCACATCCAGCAGCACTAAGTGCTCCTCAGAGGCGCGCTGTGCCTCAGGGGAGAAGGAGCCGGTGTGAGCTGGGTCTGGTCCCCCAGCCTGAGGCTCCCTCCGGGATCCTGGCCAAGCCGCTCCCTCCCGGAGGCGATGTCCCTGACTGTGAAGTGGGGCTGACCTCAGTGCGGCTCCCGGGGGGGCTGGGAGGTCGCCTGGGGCGGGGCACGCATCCTGCCCGCTGGCGGCCACTGCAGAGGAGAAGGCTGGCCAGGAGGGCGGGTGCCTCCTCAAGAGTCTGATCCCAGGCGGCGGAGGCCTCGCTTTCCCTTTGGCAGGCGAGGCGGGAAGTTTAAGGACCTTGTCCAAGGTCCCGGGAGGCAGGTGGCTGGTCCCAGGCCTCTGCGGAAAGTTCCCACAGTGCTCACCAGGTTCTGACAAGCGCACTGTGTATCCAACCTTGTTCATTTAACGCGCTGTGTGCCCGCACCCCCCCTCCCCCGCCCATAAATCAGTGGTTCTCAACTAGGTCACATCCTGGGAACTGAAAACATACCCACCCCTGGCCAAGGGCCCAGCCCCCGAGATTCTGGTTTAATTAGTTGGGGTGCAGCCTGGGCGTTAGCATGTGTCCAAGCTTCCCAGGGGACTCCTGTGCGCCTGAGATTGCGAACTGCTACCCTAAATACTTAGGATGGTCTTTTTTTCCTTAAATATATTCTTATTGATTTCAGAGAGGAAGGGAGAGGGAGAAAGATAGAAACATCAATGATGAGTGAGAATTATTGATTGGCTGCCACTTACACACCCCACACTGGGGATGGAGCCTGAAACCTGGGCATGTGCCCTGATGGGGAATCGAACCCTGACCTCCTGGCTCACAGGCCTGCCGGGCTTTAGGATGGTCTTTTAAGAAAAGATCGCTAGGGGGCCTCGAACCTGATGGGTGCCCTTATTGTTGTCATAAAACTCACCTGTGCGTGGAGGCCGGGCACCCGTCCGGGGTCCCCACGGGTGTGGAACCAGCTGATGAAGGCGAGGTTCCTCCCACGTAACGCGTGTTTGTTTTACATGAAGTCCTCCGTTCAGAGACTGGCTTCGGGACAAAGAGAAGGAAGGGGAACGTGTCTGAACAAAAGGAGTTTTCCTTCGAGCCAGGCCGGCCTGGAGCCTCCGCGCGTGGCCCCTCCTCCCCTGGCAGACACCTCTCCACGGCAGCGGCGGGGTTCCTCCCGGTGGCTCCATGAGGACAAAGGGCGTGCCCTCCCTGGCCAGGACGCCCCAGCCTCTCCTCTCGCTGCTGCGGTCCATGCCAAGGCCCCGGGACATGCAGAAGCTTCCTGAGGGCCCGACCCGCCACCATGAGGCCCCACCTGCGGAGACTCGCCCACCTGGGCCGCGCTGCCCGCTGGCTCCTGCTCTTGGCCGGGTTGATCTTCCTCCTGTTCACCCTGCCCGCCTTCGTGAAGGAACCGAATACAAAGCCCACCAGGTAAGAGCCTGGCCTTTTCCAAGCGCGTCATTTCTTAGAGGAAACAGAAAACTCTAGAGGGAGGACTGGGGAACTCGGAGACACGGCTGTGCCCTCGTGGGGGCCGGGGGCCGGGAAGCCTGGGGACCGTGGAGGCGGTGGGAGAGGGGGTGCCACGGGCACGCAGGCAGGGGTTCGAGAGCAGGAGTATGTCCCCCGGGACTGTGAGTTTTCAGGGCAGCTCTGGGGTTAAGTTCTCACGTGCCATTCAGTGTCTCGAAGCAGAAGACTTACCCCGTGTATTCATTCATTCACTTCATAACCATACTCTCCCCAAGAGCCGTCACGCCGGGAGGCAGCCTAAACGCTGGGCCTCGAGAATCCTTGGAAAGGGTTTTCTGGACCAGTTTTCTTTCATGTATATCTCCTTCTATTGATTTCAGAGAGAGGAAGGGAGAGGGGGAGAGAGAGAGACATCAACGATGAGAGAGAATAACTGATCAACTGCCTCCTGCACACCCCACACTGGGGACTGAGCCCTCAGCACCCCGGGCATGAGCCCTGACTGGGAATGGGTCGATGTGCAACCACTGAGCCACACTGGCCGGGCTAGACCAGTTTTCTTAGAGAATAAACACATCTCCAGCAGTGAGAGACCCTGTTCTTTCTAGACTCAATTTTTAAAATTGTGTTTCACTCTTCTTAAAATCTGACAGCAATGCTTGTTCTCATGAAGTTTACAACAATACAGAAAGGTGGAGCAAGAAGGGAGGGTCTCTCCATTACACCCCATCTCTACCCACTCTTCTGGGGTGAGCACGCTTAATACCTGGGTGTAGATGTAGTTATGATGTTATTGTAGCTAACACTTCTGTAGAATTCTCTAGGTGCCAGGCAGGATCCTAAATGCTTTCTGTGAATTAACTCACTAATGCTTATGATTCTGCGTATCCTGAAACAGAGAGCTTAAGTGAGTCACCCAGTTCACCCTGCGAGCAAGTCGCAGGGCGGATTCAAACCCAGCATTTGGGACCATAGCCTGCGCTCTTTGCCGTATGCTATGCAAGTCCTAACATGTGGGTAAACGGAGGGGTCGATAGGTAGGGAAGTAGGTGGATGACAGATGGATGGATACACATTGGCCCACATTATGTCACACACAAATAACTTTCTATAGATGAAATTTGTCTATCTTTTCCCTTATGGCCACTAGACTTTGTGCATTCCTAGGAAAGTCTGCCCCAGTCCAAAATGACATAAATTGTCTTCCATATTTTCTACTTTTGCTATGTAAGCTCAAATAGTTACTCTACCTGAAATTTACTTTTGTGTAGGCCTCAATATGGGTTTGTATATGTTGGAAGTCTTTTGACTGCAAATGACAAAAACTTGACTCGATCTGGTTTACATAGAAGGTAAGGTGCGCTGTCCGCTGAGGCTCAGTAGCTGGGTGTCGGCCCAGGCCCCGGAAGGTTGCCTGTATGATTCCCAGTCAGGCTGTGGGCTCAATCCCAGTTACGGGCGTGGAGGAGGCAGCCGAGTGATGGATGTTTCACTCTCACATCGATGTTTTTTTTTTCTCTCTCTCCCTTAAAAAAAAAAAAAAAAGCCAACAAGTAAGAAGCTAAGGGAGGGAGAGAAGCTCAGAGAATGAGAGTGTTTGGGGCGCCGGCCCTCTGGGAGTGGAAGTGGGGGTGCGCTGTGGGGGAATCGTGACCAGGGTCCCTGGCCTCCTCGGAAGGAGACCGAGTACCCAGCCCTGTTTCTGGTCCAGAGCGTCCTAAAGGTGGAAGGGGGTGGGCACTGACCGTCCTAAAGGTGGAAGGGGGTGGGCACTGACCCTGGGTTCGTGTCCCTGGGAAGGAGGCCAGCGCCCTCCGCCCACCCGGGGCCTCCACAGCCCAGGATGCTGTGGAGGGCAGCTCAGCCCGGTCCGTGGAGGGATCCGAGCCCCAGAACCGCCCAGGTACCCGCTGGGGCGTGCAGGAGGCAGCCAGTGGAGGTGCCCTCTCACATCGATGTTTCTTTCTCTTCCCCTCTCTCTAAAAATCAATAAACATGCCGAAACCGGTTTGGCTCAGTGGATAGAGCGCTGGCCTGCGGACTGAAAGGTCCCAGGTTCGATTCCGGTCAAGGGCATGTACCTGGGTTGCGGGCACATCCCCAGTGGGAGATGTGCAGGAGGCAGCTGATCGATGTTTCTCTCTCATCGATGTTTCTAACTCTCTATCTCTCTCCCTTCCTCTCTGTAAAAAATCAATAAAATATATATTTAAAAAAAATAAAATAAAAATCAATAAACGATTCTTAAAAAGAAAGAAAGAAAGAAAGGAAAAGAGAGGGAGCTGTAAACCGCCAACCCCAGGGGAAGGAGAGTTTCCAAGGTCAGGAAACTTTGATGTGTGAAGGTTACTCATTATCAAAGCTTCGTTGGCACTTTTATGGCACGTTTATGGCACTTTTATGGCACGATCATTTCAGAGTTGGAGGAGATTTGCAGATAGTAACCTAGGCTCCAGGGGCTTTCTGTGTGTTATCTCTGATTATTTGTTTACAAAATGAAGAGGAGGAGGCTCAAAAGGTTAAACAGATGCGTGGGATGGGTGTGGTCACCGCAGGAGGGATAAGGAACCACCCTGACGTCCAAGGCGGGGCAGCCTGTGGACAAGACTCGTTCCAGCCAGGACCCAGGGTGGGACGGGGAGAAGGCAGCGTCCGCACCTGCCTGAGCCGGGACATGGAGGCATCGCAAAGGGAGAGAGCGAGCCACGGCCTGAAACGGGAAAAGGCCGCCCGGTCGCGAGGGGAGGCTGATTAACGATGAACATCTCGAACCCAGTGCCAGGCCCCGGCCTCGGCCTCGGTCCCTGACTGTCTAGCAAGCCTTTCGGGTGGACAGTATCATCACCCTCACCTCCTCGTACAGATACAGGAGGTCAGGACACTAGTCCCAGGTCACCTCCTCACTTCAGCTCAGACCCAGCGGGCTCGCCTCAGCCAGGACCCCAGGCGGGTAGCACCCCGCCCTCTATCGCAGCCGCCAGGACACGAGGCCGTCAACCCAAAGTTGTTGTTTTTTTCTGAATTTTTTGTGGGTGGGAACCAACCGTCTTATTTGTCTCCACTTCCCGGTCATCTGAATGGGGCCTGGGGACAATGCAGGGCCACACGGTCCTCGGCTCTCTCGCTACCGCATTCCCTTCCCGGGAAAGACCGCTGTCTCGCCAAGGCTTCAGGCCTCAATGAGTTTTGAACATTTAGTCTTGCCTTTGCTCCCAGGTTCCCCCTCGTGTGATGTTTACCTAAGAATTCAGAGGGAGGCCCTAGCGGGTTTGGCTCAGTGGACAGAGCGTCGGCCTGGGGACCAAAGGGCTCGGGTGTGATTCCGGCCAAGGGCACGTACCTTGGTGGCAGGCTCCTCCCTGGCCCGGGCCCTGGTCCGGGCATGTGCAGGAGGTAACGAATCGATGTGTTTCTCTCACATTGATGTTTCTCTTCCACTCTCCCTAAAAATCAATGGAGAAATATCCTCGGGTGAGGATTAACAAACAAACAAACAAACAAATGAAAAACAAAGAATTTAGAGGGAGGAGGATGCCAAATTGTTTCATTTATGGAATAGAGCAGTGTGATCCTTGCTCATGATACATTTATTTTTCAAAGTGCAACATTTTATATTCTTACCTCCCAAATAGGTCAGAATTAGGAAACTAAACTGCTTCTGGCTTTGCCTGGTCCTCTGACCTACAGGCTCTTAATAGAAAAAAGGCCCCCCCACCCTCCCGCCACCCGAGCCCAGCCCAGCCCAGCCCAGCCCAGCCCAGCCCATGGTGTATAAACCCACTCAGCATGTGGACATGTGGACGGAAGCAATTTGAACATTCAGCAAACACCCCACCTGAGAATCGGTCATGCCTGGATAAGCACCCAGCTCCTTAGCAATCCCAGGTGTGTTTAATTACAGGGAAGTAAAATGAAATAGAGTGGCGTCATGTTGTCACAACCTGGGTCATTGCTAACACTTCCCGTAAAAATAGAGGTGGCATTTGCGGCTGAAGGGTCGGGCGGGGGCCGCTGACTCTTGCCCCTCGATGGGCTGTGTGCCCTCAGGGCCCACGTGACCAGCGGCAGCTGGCGCTGCGGGCTGACAGGTGGACCGGCCCAGCCCACCCGCCGCACCTGTCCCCGCTCACAGCCAGGCAGGTGCTGGACGCTGGCAAGGAAAGCGTCCAGGGGCCTCTGAGGTTTGGGGGCGGGAAGTGGAGGCGAATCCAAGAGCCAGCCCAGGAGCAGCCACTGTTTGCCAAGCGGGTAACACCTCGGCTCCCGCGCTGCCCTTGGAGCTTAAGCTCAATTATCAGCTTAAAGGGCAGCTCGGGGAGCCCCATCCCGAGCTCAGGCACTGTCTTTCTACTAACAGAGCAGCACAAATCCACCGCCAGCTTTCCCCGTGCACTGGCGGGCATTCTTTTTTTTCCCTCTAAATATATTTTCATTGATTTCAGAGAGGAAGGGAGAGGGAGAGAGAGCGATAGAAACATTAATGATGAGAGAGAATCATCTATCGGCTGCCTCCTGCACGCCCCACACTGGGGATCGAGCCCCCAACCGGGGCCTGGGGTGGCATTCCTTCAGAGTGAATACTCAGGGGGTGCCTGCCATCTCAGGAGCCGATGACCCCCTCTTTCTCCTGAAACTGACCTCCTCCTAGGCACAGGGTGGACCCCAGGATGTCACCCACCGTGTCACCCAGACCCCTGGCCAGGGATGGAGAAAGCACCCAAGTGGGTGAGAACCTCGGCCCCCAAAATGAAACCCTGGGAGCACAGAGAGCCGACAGTCCCCAGAACAGGCGCTAGGGGGCGGCCGGCCCCCACCACGTGGGCTGAGAAAGTGAGAAGGAAGCCGCCGCAGAGGCCCCGAGCCCCGAGCCCTGAGCCCCGGTTCTGGACCCTCGGAGAGGCTGTCACTCCTCGCCCCCGGGTTCCTCCGGACACTTCCGTCCTCACGGCCGCAGGCAGCGGCTGGCTGGGGAGCAGCGCCTCAAGCCAGTCTGTAAGGCAGACCCTTTGCGAGGCTCTTGATTCAAAGCCAAGGTTGGCAGCCCTGGTCTTCACATAAATGCGTCTCTTCCCCATTTTCTTTGAACAAGGTTACCATTGTTCCCTCCACTTCATTTAAAAAAACAAAACACAAAAACAACCCAAGGTCGACTGAAGGGCACCGACACGCAAATCCAAGGTGACAGGTCTCAGGCCACACAAACTCCTTCTTAGACCTCAATCTGGAGCAGTGTCCCGGGCGCCACGGAGAACCCGGCAGAGAGGGAGAGAACCACCGACCGGCTGCCTCCTGCTCGCCCCACACTGATCACCGCTGGGCATCGAGCCCGCAACTCGGGCATGTGCCCTGACCGGAATCGAACTGTGACCTCCTGGTTCATAGGTCGGCGCTCCACCACTGAGCCGAGGGTAGGGGGTGGAGGGGAGGGCAGGGGGTGGGGGGAGGGGAGTCCCCAGAGGGCAAGGCTTCCTCTCTGGCGGATGGATGGGGATGCGGCTTCCTTTCCTCGCACAGGCACTGGCTTGCAGTCGGCCTGAGGCCCAAGCTTCTACTCCCTTCACCTTCATCAGCCGTTCTCTGTCCCCAGGCATCACAGGACAGAGGACATTACAGAGAGGTCCTGGCCATCACTGCAGGAGACCTCGCCCCCAACGCCCCCCATGGACAGAAGGGCCCCCACCCACGCAGGGTCCACGCAGGAGAGCAGCACGCTGGACACCCGCCCTGAGGCCACGGGCCACTCGGAGGCCACGGGCCACACGGAGGCCACAGGCTACACGGAGGCCGCGGGCCACACGGAGGCCGCGGGCCACATGGAGGCCACAGGCCACACGGAGGCCACAGGCCACTTGGAGGCCGCGGACCACAGGGAGGCCACGGGCCACTCGGAGACCACAGGCCACACAGAGGTCACGGACCACACGGAGGCCGCGGGCCACACAGAGGCCACGGGCCACTCGGAGGCCGCGGGCCACATGAAGGCTGGGGGCCACATGGAGGCCACAGGCTACATCGCGGCCAGAGCGCCCGGCACAGCCAGGACGGCACTGTTCAGGAGTCAGGGCACCACGGTGGGCACACCGCCCCCGAGCAGTCAGGCGGGGGGGCCGGCCCCCCCTGGGACGGAGGCACCGCGGGTTCTGGATGCGAGGACAAGCGAAGGGAGGAGGGACAAGAACGAGCCGCCGACAGCCGCGGGGACAGCGCCGGCGCAGCCTCGGGCACCCACGGCCGGGACACCCAGGCTGGAGAGCCGGGCTGAGGCGCTGACCCCCACGGGAGCAGGGTCACCCACGAGGGAAACCAAAGGAGTGACCACAGAGACAGCCGCCCCACGCGCCACCCCTTCCCGGAGCCCCGTGGCACAGACCACCCCCAGGCTGCGGGCCGCCAACTTCAAGGCCGAGCCCAAGTGGGACTTTGAGGAACAATACAGCTTGGACGTGGGGGGCTTGCAGACGGTGAGTTTTGCCACGACCCTGCCCTCTGCCTCCGGCTCCGACGCCCCTCCTGGCACTCAGCCCATCCCCCTCCCTCACCTCCCAGGCTCCACTCCTAGGCCCTGCCTGATCCCACCCCCGGGGTCGCCCCATCCTTCCTTCCTATCCCACCGCAATGGGGGGAGGAGGCCGGCCCCAGAATCCTGGCCGGGAGGCACGGGAAGGTGTGCGCAAGGAGCCCCCCAGGCTCCGGACAGTCAGTGCCTGGCTGTGTGTGTGCTTCGTAGCAACGCCAACAGCCGCTGGATTCAAAGTGCAGGGAGCGGCTCCACGGAGGCTGTCGATCGGGTGGCCGAGTGCAACCTGCTCTGCGGTTTGACCCCCTCCCGGTCCTCCGGTGGGTCCGAGGCTGGGGGCAGGGACTAACAGACAAGGAGACCCAACTTGGTGGCGGCCGGCGTGGCTCAGCGGTTGAGCTTTGACCCATGAACCAGGAGGTCACGGTTCAATTCCCGTCAAGGGCACATGCCCGGGTTGCGGGCTTGATCCCCAGTAGGGGGCGTGCAGGAGGCAGCTGGTCAATGATTCTCTCTCATCATTGATGTTTCTCTCCCTCCCTCTCCCGTCCTCTCTGAGATCAGTTATATATACTATATGTATATGTACATATAAAAGAATGCCCAACGTGGTGCCCAGTGCTAGCGCCTGGGAATACCTTGTCTTCTGCATAGAGTGGTCCCACCACCTCCCCTCTCTTCCCTCCCTGAGAAAGCACCACGGGAGAGCCACACTGAAAACGGACTCGCACACAGAGTTGCAACCATGCCAGGGCAGCACGCGGACCACCCCGTCCCGGGGTCCCATTTCTCCCGCTCAAAGGGGCATGGGCCGTGAGGGCCAAGGACGCCTGTCCTCGGGGAAGCCTCGGGGCGCGGCAGGCCGGCCGCCAACAGGAGGGACGAGGCAGCGGAAGCGGTGCCTTCCCAACTTGGAGGCTCTCTGCCCCCTGCCGCCCGGCCCAGGCCTGGTCATGGCCCTCCTGGCCGCCTGCCTGACCCGCCCCCGTGCATTTAGACCTGCCCCGACTCCGTGAAGGTGAGGGCCTCCAAGTCGCTCTGGCTCCGGCATCTCTTCCTGCCCAACCTCACCCTCTTCCTGGACTCCAGACACTTCAACCAGAGCGAGTGGGAGCGCCTGGAGCACTTCGCCCCGCCCTTCGGCTTCATGGAGCTCAACCGCTCCTGTGAGTGCGGTGCCTCCGCCAGCGGCCGGGGGTCTGCCTCTTCCCTGGGGGCTCCCCGCCCTGGCCCTCCCGGGGCTCTGACTGGAGGGCCCCCTGTTCCAGTGGTGCAGGAGGTGGTGACCCGCTTCCCTCCGGTGGCCCAGCAGCAGCTGCTCCTGGCCGGCCTCCCTGCCGGGAGCACCCAGTGCGTCAGCTGCGCCGTGGTGGGCAACGGGGGCATCCTGAACGACTCCCACGTGGGCCCGGAGATAGACGGCCACGACTACGTGTTCCGGTGAGGCCCCCCCCAGCTTCCCCTACAGAGACGGGCTCTCCGGAGCGCTGCCGGTGACCAGGCCTGTAGAGGGCACCTCTCTTCCATCCCTCCTTCCTCTCCACCGGCTTCCACGCAGCTCCCTCTGCGCTCAGGGGTCTGTCTGACCTCTGACCTCTGTCCTTCCACACAGATTGAGCGGCGCTGTCACTAAGGGCTACGAGCAGGACGTGGGCACTCGGACATCGTTCTACGGCTTCACCGCCTTCTCCCTGACGCAGTCACTTTACCAGCTGGGCAGCCGGGGCTTCCAGCACGCGCCTCTGGGGAAGGTGAGCAGAGGGAGGGGCCGGGCCAGCCAGACTCCGGGAAGGGGGCGCACAGGTGGGACGGGCCAGCATCCTGGCCGGGAGTCTGCGGTGGGTACAGGCTCAGTTCCCAGGGAGGAGCCAGGGGTGGGGGACCAGGCCTGAGAGCCGCGGGCGGGCCGGCTGGAGGCAGAGCCGGGCCTCCCAGCCCCGGTCCTGCAGGCAGCCCCCCTGAGCCACTCGCTGCCCTCGGTCCCCAGGACATCCGCTACCTGCACTTCCTGGAAGGCACCCGGGACTATGAGTGGCTGGAGGCGCTGCTCCTGAACCGGACGGTCAAGGAAGGCAGCCTCTTCTGGTTCAGGTACCCGCCCCCTGGCCCAGGAGTGTGTGTGTGTGTGTGTGTATGTGCGTGGTGAGCAGCTGCGGGGCGGCCAGGCCCCGGGGAGGGAGGAGACTGAGCCGGCGACCCTCCTGCCACAGGCACAGGCCCCAGGTCGTCTTCCGCGAAGCCCTGCGGCTGGACCAGTACCTGCTGCTGCACCCGGACCTGCTGCGCTACATGAAGAACAGGTGGGCGGCGGCCGGGCGGCGGGGGGCGCTACATGAAGAACAGGTGGGTTGTGGGGGGCGCTACATGAAGAACAGGTGGGCGGCGGCCGGACGGCGCGGGCGTCCTCTCCGCAGCCTCCTGACCGCGGGGTGTCTTCCAGGTTCCTGAGGTCGAGGACCCTGGACACGGCCCACTGGAGGATATACCGGCCCACCACCGGGGCCCTGCTGCTGCTCACGGCCCTGCAGCTCTGCGACAAGGTGGGGGCGGCGGGCGGGACGGCTCTGGGGTTCCCGCCTGCTCGGCACTGCCCCGCCCAGCAGTGGCGTGGGCTGGGGTGCGGGTACATCCAGGGGCCTGCACCCAGACCTGGGAGGGGGGACACGGCGCACACAGACCCTGAGAAGAGGCCAGGAGAGAGCGACACAGGCTGTTTCTCCACCGACCTCGACGCAGGTGAGCGCCTACGGCTTCATCACCGAGGGCCACGAGCGCTTCTCCGACCACTACTACGACCGGTCGTGGAAAAAGACCGTCTTTTACATCAACCACGACTTCGCCCTGGAGAGGACGCTCTGGAAGCGGCTGCATGACGAGGGGATCATCCGGCTGTACCAGCGCCCCGTGGCGCCCAAGCAGAAGGTCTGATGGGCCCCTCCCAGCCCCAGGCCCGGCGGGGCTGGGAGGGAACATCATCTGTCCGTCTGTCCGCACCATGAGGGACGCCCTGAGACGGCCGTGACTGGCGTTGGGAAAAAAGCTTGGAAAGTTGCCGAAGGTTCTGTCCCGGGACGGGGAGGACAGGGCGCCTTTTCTTTTTTCTCTTTTTTAATCCTCACCAGAGGGTATTTCCTGTTGATTCTTAGGGAGAGTGGGAGAGAGAGGGAGAGACAGAGAGAAACATCGATGTGAGAGAAGCATATCGGTTGGTTGCCTCCTGCATGTACCCTGACCAGGGCCCAGGCCCCGGAGGAGCCTGCAACCGAGGTTCCTGGCTTTTTTTTTTTTAATATATATTTTATTGATTTTTTTACAGAGAGGAAGGAAGAGGGATAGAGAGTTAGAAACATCGATGAGAGAGAAATATCGATCAGCTGCCTCCTGCCCACCCCAAACTGGGGATGTGTCCGCAACCAAGGTACATGCCATTGACCAGAATCGAACCTGGGACCTTTCAGCCCGCAGGCCGACGCTCTATCCACTGAGCCAAACCGGCTAGGGCAGGGCTCCCTTCTTGAGACCGAGGAATTTTAACTGAACGGTGACGAGCGGTCAGTGCCACAGATCTCCGCGGAAACCACCCTGACCGTGCAGAAGCGATATCGGCACAGAGGAAAGACGAAGTGATGGAAACACGGATCCGGGTTTGAGGTCCGATCTCTTAGCAGCGCTGAAGCCTTGAAGGCAGCTCATTTCACCCTGGACTGTCCAGGGCAGCGATTTTCAGCCGGTGCTGCCACAAGAATTTATAAAACACCAGTCCCTGGCTTCGCAGTGGCGCACGGACCCTTTCCCCTTAGACCGGCGAATAAAAACACGACCACAGACAACACTACGGGAGCCAGACATCCGTCGCGAATGAATCACAATTTTACCTCTTTTTGTGTGTGTGTTTTTGTCAGATCGGCAAAAAATATATTTTTTGGGTGTGCCGCAGAATTTCAGTTGTTAGTTTATGGGTGCCCTGAGATGGAAAAGGTTGAAGATAGCTGGTCTAGCGGACGCCGCTGGGGTTATCTGACCAGCCATCCTTGTCTTTGACAGCTCTGGGCGGGGCGGGGGGGGGGGGAGGGGGTGTAGAAAACTGGTGGTAATAAAAAAGTCTTGTCCACGGAGATGCAAATACGTGTTGTACAATGAAGACACGGGTAGCTGTTCCCCGTGGGCAGTGGTCCGTGTTGTACAATGAAGACACGGGTAGCTGTTCCCTGTGGGTAGTGGTCTGTGTTGTACAATGAAGACACGGGTAGCTGTTCCCTGTGGGTAGTGGTCTGTGTTGTACAATGAAGACATGGGTAGCTGTTCCCGTGGGTAGTGGTCCGTGTTGTACAATGAAGACACGGGTAGCTGTTCCCTTGGGTAGTGGTCCGTGTTGTACAATGAAGACACGGGTAGCTGTTCCCGTGGGTAATGGTCCGTGTTGTACAATGAAGACACGGGTAGCTGTTCCCTGTGGGCAGTGGTCTGTGTTGTACAATGGAGACACGGGTAGCTGTTCCCTGTGGGTAGTGGTCCGTGTTGTACAATGGAGACACGGGTAGCTGTTCCCCGTGGGTAGTGGACCATGTTGTACAATGGAGACACGGGTAGCTGTT